AGGGACAGGGAACAAGCCAAGCCCTATGGTCCCCTTGCCCTGTGCCCGGCTTCACATCGACCCCCAACAGGGGACCGGGCACCGGCTGCGTTTTGGGTGGGTTTTGCCGCTCCCGGTACCCGCAATGGCCGCCCGGGTTTGGGCGGTTGAGGAGGGGGGGGGAACCCGAGCCACCGGCGCAAACCGGTTCTAATGAACCGGGCGATAACAACCGCGATTTCCTGCCGCGGGGGTGAACAAAGCCCCGGTTCCACCCCCCCAACACACCCCCCCCACGTCCTCCTCCAAGCACCGGGACCGGCCGCTGCACCGGAGCCCCTCGGGGCCGCCCCGTCCCGGCACCGGTCCCCCTTGATCCCGGCTTTTGGGGTCTTTTGTCTCCGTGGGCGGTGGCCCGGGCCCCCTCCCTTAGGCACGGGTGGGGAAGGACGTTCCAAAGTCACCGGTAACTTGGACCCCACCGGCCGCCCCCTCCCCGCTGCACCCACCGGCGGCGAGCACGGGAAATGAACCGGGACCGTCCCACCGGGCACTGCCCGCACCGGGAACACCATGGGAAGGCACCGGAGCGTGAACCGGAGCCCCCCGACAGCACCCGAGCCCCACCGGGACATTCCCCCCCCCCCGCAATCGCGGGACCCGCTCGGTGCGTGACACCCGCCCTGCACGGACACGCGTGGCCACGGGGGGTCCCCGGTTGCAGCCCGGTCCTCCCTGGTACCGCGGCTCCGCTTTACCGGGTCGGGGGAACGGGGATGGGGATGGGGACACCCACGCACAGACCCCACTGTTTGGGACCGGGGCTGGGGCGCTCCCGGTGCCCCGCAGCCCTTTGTACCCCGGGGCCGCCTGACAGCCCGCCCCGGGACACGGCCCGGCCCCTCCGCCCACCCCGGGGGGGGGTCCCGCCGCTTCACACCCCCCCCATGCCCCCGGTTTGGGCCCGGCATTGGGGGTGTGTGAAGGGGGGGGGATGCAAAGGACGGAGCCGGGGCTGTCCGGTCCCCGCAGCCCCTCTCCGGTGCCCGCTGCGGGGTGGGGGGGTCCCGGTGCCCCCCCCTACGGGCAGCGGCGGGGCCGTGGCACAAAGCGGGGGGCGGCGGCGGCCATCGGCCATCTTGAACGCGGAGAGAAAAGGACACGGGGGGGGGGGGGGAAAAGGGGGGGGGAACCCGGCGGCGGCGGGGGGGGGGGGACGGGACGGACCGGACCGGGGCCGTGTCCCTACCTGGTGGCGGCGGCAGCGGCGGCCCCGCGGCCGCCCCCCCGCTCCCGGCTCGGTTCGGCTCCGCGCTGCGGACGGGGCCTTTTTTTTTTTTTTCCTCGCTCGTTTTCTTTTTTTTTTTCTTTTTTTTTTTTCTTTTTTTTCCCCCTCCTTCCTCCTCCTTTTTTTTTAAAAAAAAAATTTCCTCCTTTTTTTATTTTTTTTTATTTTTTTATTTTTTTCCTTCCTCCAGCCGCCGCCAGGCCCCGCCCCGCCCCACGTGACCTCATTCCTTCGGGGTGTTGCGGAGGAAGCGAGTGAGGGGCCGAGATTGGGGCTCCCCCCGCCGCCGCTCCGCCCCCCCCCATCCCTTCACCGCCCCCCCCCCAAAAAACCCTTGCGCCCTAAAAGCCGCTGGAATGGGCCCAAGGCCGAACTGGGGGGGGGGGGGTCCCCGGTCTCCACGTTCGCTGTCACCCCAGCACCCAAGACCCCCTCCCCGGGTCGGTTTTGTCCCTCGGGAGCATCCTAAGGGCGAGGGCCGGTGCGTGCCGGTGCTCGGTAGGGCCGGCGGCAGTGGGGGGAAGCAAAGGGAAGGGGGAAAAGGGATGGAAGGAAAAATAGATGGGAATGAGAGGAAGAAATAGGGGAATGGGAAAGGAGGGGAAAAGGGGGACGGGGGAAAAGGGATGGAAGGAAAAATAGAGGGAAAGAGGAAAAAAGGGGAATGGGAAAGGAGGCAAAAAGGGGAAGGGGAAAAGGGATGGAAGGAAAAATAGAGGGGAATGAGAGGAAAAAAGGGGAATGGGAAAAGAGGGGAAAAGGGGGAAGGGGCGAGGGGGGGGGAATAAGAGGGGATTAAAAAGAGGAAGGAAAACAAAAAGGAAAGGATGGAGGAGCAGGAAGCGCCACAGTGCCCGCGGCTGCCGCGGGGTCTTGCCCGCTCTCGGTGCGACCGAGGCGGTTCCGGACACCCGCTGTACCGGCTGCTCTGCGGGGCCCAGCGCCCACGGGTGTCTCCCCCGCTCCACACAGCTGCGGTCGGGATCAGTTCCCCCCTTGCCCTGATGCCGGTACCGGTAGGGTTGACTACAGCGGTCGCGGGTGCACTTCGCAGCGCGGTCTCTGTGGCGCAATCGGTTAGCGCGTTCGGCTGTTAACCGAAAGGTTGGTGGTTCGAGCCCACCCAGGGACGAGGCCACCTTTTTCTTTCCCCCTATTTCCTTTTTACCGGGCCTGTCCGAGAATGGACACGGAGCAGCGGAGGTGCCGGGTGGCGGGCACCGGTAGGATGTAGGTGCTCCCGGTGGGCTCATGGCTTCCTTCAAGGTGCAAGGAAACCAGCCCCTTGGTGTGAGCAAAGCCATTGCTGCTCAGCCTGCGGTCCCCTCTGCGTCACAGCATCGCCCATCAGCAAAAGGAGATGCTGGGACATTAAAACTGGAGCAGATTTGGAAGCCTGTTTCAACCCAGACTTTGGTTTTTTTTGCCTTAAAAATAAGCTGAAAAGGGTCCAGAAGCTGCACTGATGAATTCCCCCTCTCTTCCAAAGTCTTGTAACAATTATTTATGTTCCCTGCTTGCCCTGATTTGATTTGCATGCCAGAAATCATGAAGTTAGTGGTTTAATCCAGGGAATAAAGCCATGGCAGCAAGATCCCTGTTGTTCCAAATTGCTCCTGTAACCGAGGCAGCACTGGGCCTTCCCGATCCAAAAGCATGAGCCTGCTGGGGAAGGGAAGAGAGAAGAGGGGGTCACCTCCATGCTACTGCGGAGGGACCAGGATCCCCATCAGGATGTGCTGCTCCTTCTCCCCATAGCACAAACGCGGCCTCTGGCTTCATCCCTGCTGGAAACCTTTGACAATGGAAAACTCCTTAAGAATACAAGTGCCACGGGACGGGTTGTGCCTCCGGGCTCGGTCCCGGCGTGGATAAACGGCCCCTGCACAGGCTGTGATGCTCATTGGAACCAGGCAGCCTCCTCTGTTGTGCGTTTGGGAGCGTTTCCAAACACATGGATCTCTTTCCCTTTGGCACAACATCACTCCCATAAATTAAAGGTTTAATCCGGGCTTCCTCCCGGAGAGGGGAGAGAGAGGCCGAGTGGGGATGGGGAAGGAAATCCAATCCTCCACAGAGCACAAATCCCCCTTCCCATTGACCTGGGAGTAAAAAATACCCCGCAGCCACTTGCCAGGCTCCTTTTCCTCCCCGGGATGGGCCAGGATTCCCTTCTTCAGGGGCACTTCACAGAGCCAGCACTATCCAAAGGGGGTTTTGCTCCCTCAGAGCCCCACTGCCCCTGGCTCAATTCAGCTGGGCTTGGCCAACTTGTCCCAGTGCCCAGCAGAAGGTGCCAAGGCTGTGTAGGGCTGAGCTGGTGGGAGGGCACCCTGCAGCGATCCCAGCCTTGCCACAGGTATATTGGGGACAGGCACGGGGGTGCTCAACCCTAACCCTAACCCCCCAGCACCACCCTGTAATGCGCTGGTCACAACCACAGGCCACCTTGACAGTGTTCATCCAGCTGTGCCATGCTCCCATGGGCACATCCAGCTGTGCCACCACCTTGAATGCCCATCCAACTGCTGCATGCCCCCGCATGTACATGCAACTGTTGTCCTTGGATGTACATCCAGCTGTTGCATGACCCTTGAAGTCCCATCCAGCTGTACCACCCCCTGCATGCCCATCCAGCTCTTGCTCTTGTGTGCACATCCAGCTGTGCCCTGCACCTTTATGTGCACCCAGCTGTGCCATGCCTCTGTATGCACATCCAGTGCCTGCACGACCCTTTTGTGCACATCCAGCTGTTGCCCCTATGTGCACATCCAGCTGTTGCCCCTGTATGCACATCCAGATGTTGCCCCATGTGCACATCCAGATGTTTCCCCTGTGTGCACATCCAGCTGTTGCCCGTGTGTGCGCATCCAGCTGTTGCCCCTGTGTGCGCATCCAACTGCTGCCCCTGTGTGCACATCCAGCTGTTGCCCCTGTGTGCAAATCCAGCTGTTACCCCTGTATGCACATCCAGCTGTTGCCCCTGTGTGCAAATCCAGCTGTTACCCCTGTATGCACATCCAGATGTTGCCCCTGTGTGCACATCCAGCTGTTCCCCCTGTATGCACATCCAGATGTTGCCCCTGTGTGCACATCCAGCTGTTGCCCCTGTGTGCAAATCCAGCTGTTACCCCTGTATGCACATCCAGCTGTTGCCCCTGTGTGCAAATCCAGCTGTTACCCCTGTATGCACATCCAGATGTTGCCCCTGTGTGCACATCCAGATGTTGCCCCTGTGTGCGTATCCAGCTGCTGCCCCTGTGTGCGCATCCAGCTGTTGCCCCTGTGTGCGCATCCAGCTGTTGTCCCTGTGTGCACATCCAGCTGTTGCCCCTATGTGCACATCCAGCTGTTGCCCCTATGTGCACATCCAGATATTGTCCCTATGTGCACATCCAGCTGTTGCCCCTGTGTGCACATCCAGATGTTGCCCCTATGTGCACATCCAGATGTTGCCCCTTCACGCCCACCCAGCTGCGGCTCCAGCTGTGCGCACCCTCCCTCCATCGCCCCCCGCCCGCCCAGTCCTCCACCGTCCCGGCATGCCCCGCTCACAATGACTCCTCATTTTCCCCCCCTCCTTCCCTCACCGCCGCCGCAACCAACCAATCAGCTGCGCCCCGCCGCACGACGAACCACCAATAGCGAGGAGCGTATCTCCGGGAAGCCGCGGCGGCAGCCAATGGGAAGGAGCGGGAGGCGGGAGTCAGCGGCACGGTGCGGAGCGGAGCGGAGCGGGGCCTGGTGGTGTCTCTGGAGCCGGCACCATGGTGAGCACCGGGACCGGGGAGCGGCGGGGCGAGGCGGGTGGGATGGGGCCGTCCATCCGCGTGGGCTTCCCTCAGGCCGGGTAGCAACGGCTTAAAGAGAGCGGTGCCGGTGCCCCACCGGCGGTGAGGGCCAGGCCGGGTGGCCCCGAGGCCTCCGCAGGGCCCCGCCCGTAGCGGCCCGTTCTGCTCTGTTCCAGTCTATTATGTCCTATAACGGCGGGGCCGTCATGGCCATGAAGGGGAAGAACTGCGTGGCCATCGCGGCGGACCGGCGGTTCGGGATTCAGGCGCAGATGGTGACCACAGACTTCCAGAAGATCTTCCCGATGGGAGAAAGGCTGTACATCGGGTTGGCAGGGCTGGCCACGGACGTGCAGACGGTGTAAGTGTGGCTGGCTCCCCATCCCGAGCCCCAAGAGGCATGTTGACAAGGAAGTACGAAGCGGCAGCTTATGCTGAGCATCAATGGCTTTGGGTATTGGTGGGGGATGTACCGTAGGTGGGGTCAGTTCTGCACTGCTTGGTCTCCCTTCGGTGGGGGTTACTGTGATTTAAGATCCCATCCCATGAAGACTTAAAGGGGGTGACAAGAAACCTGGAGAGGGGCTTTGGACAAGGGATGTAGGGACAGGCCAAGGGGAATGGCTTGAACCTGCCCGAGGGGAGACTGAGCTGAGCTCTTAGGCAGAAGCTCTTCCCTGTGAGGGTGCTGAGGCGCTGGCACAGGGTGCCCAGAGAAGCTGTGGCTGCCCCATCCCTGGCAGTGCTCAAGGCCAGGTTGGACACAGGGGCTTGGAGCAAGCTGCTCCAGTGGAAGGGGTCCCTGCCCGTGGCAGGGGTTGGAGCTGGATGAGCTTAAAGTCCCTTCAACACAAACCACTATGGAATAGGTACTGGTCTCAGGCAGGTGTCAGGAGCTGGCATCCATCAATGTGCAGCAGAGCAGTTCTTGCCTGGGTGAAGGCAAAAGAAAAGGAATCTTCTTCTGCTGTAATGCTGATTCTCATCTCTCGCAGTGCCCAGAGACTGAAGTTCAGGCTGAATCTCTACGAGTTGAAGGAGGGCAGGCAGATCAAACCTCAGACTTTTATGAGCATGGTTTCCAATCTGCTCTACGAGAGACGGTGAGTGTCAAACAACAGTTGCTGTTTACTTGTCAGTGAAGGCTGTGGTGGCTGGAGCTGATGTGATTCTAGAGAGGCAGGATGCTGAGGAACACCCCTGCAATGACAGCTCGTGGTCCAACAGAAGGAGACTTCAATCTAGTGACAATGTCATCTTCAATTTCCTTGCAAAACAACACCCTATAGCAGTACCACTTTGCTCTCTTTGCTGTGCTGAAGCCATGGTATGGTGCTTCTAGGTTGCCCTCACCAAAAGCACCTGGGGGATGTTTTCCTTGCCTGGGTATTCACATGGGATGCAGAGCTGGAGCTGCATCAAGGTGGTTTCACTGCTGTGTTTGTCCTTCACAGGTTTGGGCCATACTACACAGAACCGGTCATTGCAGGGCTGGACCCTGTAACACATGAACCCTTTATCTGCTCCCTGGACCTCATCGGCTGCCCCATGATCACCGATGACTTTGTGGTCAGTGGGACCTGCTCGGAGCAGATGTATGGCATGTGTGAGTCCCTCTGGGAGCCCAACATGGTGAGTGGGGCTCCTCTTCTTGGATTCAGGCTCCTGCTGTTCACTGGAGAACTGGGGATCCAGTGCTTTGGGTGAAAAGCTCTGTCCATTGGTGCTTCCCAAGGAGCATGGGGAACAAAGAGGCTGGAGCTTGTAACTGCAGCATCTTGGATGATAACTTTGGGGGTTGAACAAAATCCAGTGCACCAACATTGCTGGATGGGGCTTGGAGCAAGCTGCTCCAGTGGGAGATGTCCCTGCCCGTGGCAGGGGATTGGAACTGGATGAGCTTTAAGGTCCCTTCCAACCCACATCATTCTGTGATTCCATTTTTACACTGACTAAAAGAGCTTCTGTTCCTCAGGAGCCCGACCACCTCTTCGAAACAATCTCACAGGCCATGCTGAATGCAGTGGACAGAGATGCCATTTCTGGAATGGGAGTGGTGGTGCACATCATGTAAGTGCTGCTCTCCTTCCCCTGCAGAACAGAGGTAGAATTCAACAAGCTGTGTGTTAAAGGAGTTTGGTGCCACGTTATCCCTGTCCTGCTCCTTCCAGCAGTATCATTAACAACATTCTGTCCATTCTAAATGGTTTACTTCCGTGCTGCAGCTTGTGGCTGTGTCTCCAACTGCAGGAGCCACACTGGAAACCAGTCCTAGACACAGGGATTCCCTGGCTCCATTCCTGCTGGTATTTAGGAGTGCAGCTCCTCAGACAAATAGCACTGCCCAAAGGGATGCTGTTTGCCACAGGCAGATGCAGTGTTACCTCCCCAGGCCTGCAGTCAGACTTCTGAAGCAGTTCATTTTGCTGATGGGGCTCATTGCCTGGAGCATCCCTGGCACTGCTCTTGCTGGAGGGCAAAGCAGGACAAGGATGAGCTTTACTTGGCTGAAACAAGCACCTTCGAGCCCCGATGATCCTGCCTGTGCCAGCAAACCCGTGCACACTGCAGAGGGGACTATCTGTATGTAGGTATTAAATGTGGGTTTACCAATAGGTGTTTCCTCTTTTCCCCTCTAGTGAGAAAGACAAGATCACCACCAGGACCCTGAAGGCTCGCATGGACTAACCCAGCACCAATCCTGTGCTTCACAGCCCACTCTGCTTGGAACTTTTTTAAATAAAACCCTCTATCATAGTGAGCTTTCCTTTTCTTAAGTCTCAACGCTAGGATCGAGTTCTCTAAAGCTGTCAGGAGGAGCTTGGTTTTACACAGCAGCAGCGCTACCTTTGTTTGAGCCACCCATCAGCCCCCTACATGTGCTTCCAGGAGTCAACCCCATCTCCTTGAGACAGCACAGCAGCGTTGGCTTTTCCTATCATATTCATTTGTTCTTACATCCAGGACTTGGTTAAACCAGTTCTTACTTAAACCCCCCATTGTACAGACACATATCAAATGACTTTTCCAGTTCAGGGAGGACTGAAACCAACCACATACCTCGGTGAGGACACTTGAAAGAGGAGGGCAGGAAGGAGCAGACGTACACAAAGTTTTACTTTTATTTTTCTCTGGTTGGAGACTCATCTTGTAACATGCATGCATTTCAAAACAGTAACAGTGTCTCAAACTGCTCCTAGCAAACAGACAAGCACAGAGGACTTCAACTTCCTAGTTAAAAAACAGCAGTGAAAAAACCCTAGAATGCTTTTTGTTGTTTTCTTGACTTTTAACTTCATTTATTCACATTGGTTTCAGTGGCACTGATCAGCCCTGCCCACCCTTACAACCTGCGTGTAACACGCTGGGGTGCAGCTGAACAAAGACCAGTACAACAGCCGAGTAGGGGAAAACTCCACCACTCAACCTGATGGATGCCCAGCGGCTGCTTCTGAGCTTTGCCAGCACTGTTACACAGGATACTCACACCAAAAGAGCAAGGAAAATCAGTAGTGGCTAATCTGGATACTGGAGAATGGCTCTGCAGGAGTAGGGAAGCCAACAGGCATTAGGACACATGGGGAGAGGAGAGGGGTTTCGTTTTGGAGCTGTTGGAACCCCGATCTGTCTCGGGTCGGTTCCTCAGCATCACAAACCAAGTTGAGGACACACACACACACTGACTTCAGAAAGGTTTGGACCACCTCAAGGTTCAACGCTTGGAGCTCTGCAGCTGGGAGGAAGGTGGCTGTAAGGACTGTGTAGGACAGCACACAACCCCTACACCAAACACAGCCCCTAACTCCAACACAACCCTGCTCTGGGCCTTTCCTGGGCTAAGAGGCTACTGAAGGTGACTGTGGTGGTGCTCCCGAGGGGAGAGCAGGAAATAAGACTCCAATGTGTTCTTCCTGGTTATGATAATCGGATTCAAACTTAGGATGCTTGGAGGTGAGAGTACAGCCTCATTGCCGCAGGCATCTGGAGTTCTGAAGTTCTCCCTGTGATGAACTGCATGGCTTTTAAGAATTAAAAGCAGGTCAACCAAAGGCATGTACCAGACCAGAGGAAGGAGCCCTTGCTGTGACAACTCCTGCTGGCATTCCCTTTCCATAAGCAAACCCAGGCCCTCTTCCTGGCACTGAAGCTGCCCCACAGGGCGGGTGTTGGCCTGGTACCTCCAGAACATGGTGCTCTATCACAGGGTGACCCAACACGTCCTCGAGTGGGTTTTATTGCACTATTGGAGCAGAACAGCACCCACAGTCACAACCTGTGACTCTGCACTCAGCCTTCCCTCTCCCGCTATCTCAGACAGGGAAGATGTCAAGTTCTAGGTGAAAAACACTTTTTAGGTCTTCCAATTTGACAGATCCCTGTTCAGAACAAGACCCTCAGTACAAGCAGGACTGTGGAGCAGGCAGCTTCCCACTAATCCTTTCTGAACCTCCAGCTGCCCAAAGAATTGCACCTAATTCCTGGCAGCATCCTCAGAGGGATGTGGTACCCACTGCGACTCTTTCAGCCAGGGGGGTTTGCAGTCAAATGCACTTCAGTGTAAAGTGTTCTGCAGGGTACATGCTACAGACAGAAATATCTACATTCAGCAACCTAGAACTAAATTCACACCAGAAACAGACAACAAACTAGCACAAGCAGTTGGGAAAACCAAGAGTTAATTGAAAGGGTTTTTGCATTTAAATACTTCGAGTTAAAAAAGTGACCTAAAACAAGATTAAAAGGAAAAAAAAAAAACAAACCCAACTCAAAACAACCAAAAAACCCAAGAAAAAAAGTCCCTTTTAAAAAGAAATCAAATATTTGCAGCTTCACTTCTTATTCTGGTAAGAAAAATACTGTCTGGAACCAAAACTGAGCATTTTTTCAACGCAATGCTACCTCTCCCAATGTAAACAATATACAAAATGCTTCTGTTAAACAGAGTTCCATACCTGGGGAATACATCAGGAAGTGAGGAAATCGCATGTCCTTACTTTAATACACAAATATGGCAACTTGGCAGAATTGGGGAAGTGCTAAAGTGAATGGAGTTCATGGGGCTTTTGGTGTCACCCGAGCCAGCGACAGCCAATTTGATCCTCAAAGGAGGTTGGTTGGAGTGGAATAATACAGTTAACTGCTCTTAAGCCCTTTAGCATCAGCCTTCCAGAAAGATTGCTGCAGGAACTAACTGCATTTTCATGTCAGCCCTGGTGATGAATGAAACTCTTGCTATGCAAGCTTCATCTGCTGACTTTCTTTGGGTTGTTTGCTTTGTAGGATGTCTGCAGTTCACTCATCCCCTTCTCTCTTCCTCCCCCCCATTTCTCTGTTTTTCCTCTATAAATGCATGATTTCAAGCCTTTCAAAGGTCCCAGCTAGTTTCCCCAAAGGAGAATACAAACTTACCAGGCCAAAGTTGCAGATTCAATGCAGAGTTTTATAACTGTCAAGAATAAAAAGTGATTGGTATTTAATTTCCGGTAGTAAACTTAAGTGCTTATTGTTTTAAGAGAAAAGCAACCAATATAATGCCCACAAAACCAAGCTGATGATACCCTCCAAGTCCTCCCTTTTTCAAAGCATTCTCATAGCTGCATTTGTTTTGTGGCTTTTCCAGCTACACACCTTAAGACATGAGACTCTCAGGCCTCCCAGACAACGGTGTGTTAACCCCACCTCACACGGAACAGGGAGATCTGTCCCGTGTCAAAGGGAATGACCCATGAATGAAGGAAAAGATTCAGATCCCGTTATGACCCCTAATGTGAATTCTTGTTTTCTTAAAGACTTCTATTTACAGTGCACTCTCATGGGCTGAGACTTCAGCCCCTTTTTGTCCCCTTCGAAGTTGAGACCTGTGGGATTCACATCACAAAGGTGAGTGTGAACATCTACGAGAACCCCAAGCCCACGTTCAGAATCCAGACCAGAGCTAGGTTAGTCTAGGGAAATTACCAGGATGTGATGAGCACCAGTTATCTCTCAAAAGGACCAAATTCCACACAGCAAACTGTAGCACGTGTTACAGCACAGGACAGACATTCGAAACAGCTTATTCCCGAAACAAAGGCATATGTGAGAACAGTTTCAAGGCAGAGAAGCAACATGTTTCAACTGCAAGAGGTTTGTTCAAAACACTAAATCCTGCTTCGAAAAAAGAGAAAGACAATTAAAAAATAGGAACCAAGAGATCTGTAAGTGGTGTGCAGCAGAGCTAACGAAACCCAAAGCGAGTCTGACAAGCTTGGCTGTGAGAAATAGTACAAGCGTTCTGGAGACAAAACAGGACGTTATTCAGTCACTCCAATCAGTTCCAATTCCTTAAAGGGGAGGAAGGGGGGGATAATCTGGCGCAAGTGTTCAAACGTTTCCACTCCTTGACTGTTGCTCTAGAGAGGGGTATGGAGCAGAGAAGAGTAAAACCAACCACAGCTCAAGTCCTGAGTCCTTTGGAGCTGGGAGACTCGCTCCACAGTCCCAGCTCCCAGCACTCGCCACTGGTAGCGAAGTCCAGTTCCTTCGTGTGCAAGTCACATTGCCATGTGAACAATGAACCACCTAAGCAAAGAACCTCGGTCAGGAAACAAGTTCAAGTACCTGTTGCAATTGGGGCTAGTAAGGAAGACTGAACATTAGCTAGATTAACACTGGCGGAAGGGCGATGTTAAGCTCTCACCTAAGAGACATGGTAATTCCTGCCTGAGGTGCGACAGGGAAACACTTGGGATAGTCCAATCTATCCCATATCTACAGGTACAAAACACCTTGTTTTAGTTTTTCCTTTTATGAAATCATCACAGCTGGCCAATTTAAAGCACAATGGGTCCGAGCACGTTATTATCTGAGGTCATTCAATGCCTCTACCACTTCTCATACCTGTTTCTTTCCGCTCTAGGAGTTACACCTCTTTAAGTGATCATCTTTGGTAGATGTTCATTTCCCTCATCTTTCTTGGAAACCAAGTGCAGTTACAAAAGTTTGTCTTACTTAAATTAACCCAAAAGCATAAAGTGTCCCAGTCTGAATTTACCTAAAGTTCAGCGACTCCTCCTTATCAAGAGTAGTATTTTCTGTCCTTGAAATGGTGAGCTAGTTTCCTTCCACTTCCTACCAAGAGGGAAATAAAAGGGTTGGTGTGTCTTTCGGGTAAAGACAGTCCAATAATAAAAAACCCCCTAAAATAGTTTGTGGAACCAGGCACTGCTTCACTCCCACTGAACATGATCTAGAGCGACCCCTTCTAGACAGTGCCATGTATCGTATCCCTATGGGCTTCTCTTGATCGGAGAGGAGAAAACGTCATTAGAAAGAGCAGTGCTGAAACAATGCACTTTGCTTGTTTTAAAAAGCCCTCAAATCTGTGTCTGGGCACTTCTGTAACATAAAAACCCCACTTTTCCACCTGGGTCAAGTGGACTGTTGGAGGGTGCACCTAGAATGAGTTTTTCTCTTTAAGTCACACAGCGCCACGCACTCGCTCTTGCACACTCACACGCGCACACACACGCACACCCCACATGCTGCTACAGTGTCTGTTTTAGTGTCACAGGCTGCGTTCTCTGTTTGGAAGTAGCCCCCTCTTCCTCTTCATGTCTCGCTGAAGGCTGAAGACGACTATGTCAGGATGTTGGAGATAAATTCATTGAAGCGTTTCGAGTACTGCTCTGGATTCACGGTGGAGATCTCTGCCCCAGCCTGCAAGGCAGAGAGGAGACAGGAGTCACAACACCCTCCTCCAAGGGCACCAGTGCCAAGGGGAGAGGAGGGAGGATGGAAGGGAGATGTCAGCACAGCATGGGACAGAGCCATAACAAACTGCAAGTTCTAAGGGGGAAAAAGCCCATCAAGAGGTCAAGAGACATCCCCAAGGAACTGATTTTAGGTCCAGTTGGACCTTCTGCAGACCACAGAGTCAAAGCACTGGATTTGTTCTCATATGGTTTACAAGGGATTCGGAAGGAGCATGGAAAACTCCACGTCCTCCTAAACCAGGCTCTTTCCAAGCCCTTTTGGGAAGCTTGGGATTGCTACTAGGGAGCAGGACTGGCCCCAGGAGAGGGATAGGGTATCACGCCTCCCTGCAAGCCAGTCTATTCTGCTCTGTGAGGCAATTTGGTGCCACACCAGGGAAATCAAGCACCTCCCAAACTGGGAAAACCTTTGCAAGACAGTCTGAGAAGATGCTAAATGAGGGAAGAGCCGTTCTTGGCCACGGAATCACTGGAGAACTTCCATCCTGATAGAAAAATCAGAGTCAGGAGGCATCACCCATGCGCAACGCAGGCAAAGCAGAAGCCCCAAAGCCCATCTTCCCTGCAGTGGGTGGCTGCTTACCCCATGTTTCACTGTTTTGGCAGCATGTGCAGCTTTCTTCTTCGCATCATATGGCGTAAGAATGTCTATAATGGCCATGAAGTACACTTCCTTCTTGGGGGCACCTAGCAAGGCAAGAGAGTCGCTAGCACACCCTGAGCTGTGAGCAAAGCCCCCCCTCCTCTAGAAATAGGTGGCTGCTTTGCTGCATACAGCAGAGAAAGCAAGGAGCTGGAGGCTGTAAAGGGGTAGAGAAGAAGGACTGGAAACAGCACACTAGAGGCCCACATGCTCTCTGACCGTGCCACTGCTCTCCAAGCATCACTTCTACCCATTCCAACTCACACCATCCACAACCAGGCACAGCAAAGGAGAGACACTTGGCAGAATCCCTCTCTCTGTGTGCACAGTCCTCCCATTCCATTCAGCCCAGCCAGACCACAGGACACCCCCTCCGCCCTCCGGAGCTTCCCAGCATCCCAGAATACTCACTTTCATGGCTTTTCATGGCGTAGACGTCGACAGAGGGATCGAACTCCCCAGGCCCAAAGAAACGTGGGTAGTTGAGGAGGTTGCCAGGGCTGTCCGGGGGGGTGCCATAGGAGGAGATGGGGTTGCCTCCCAGCCCATCATTCTCACACTCCTCGTCCTCTGCCCGATCCTCCACTTCCATCTCTTCCTGCTCTGCTCGGTCAACATCGTGGATCCCAACCAGCAAGCTGTAGTCCATAATCTTCAGCTGAGCTAAAAACTGGGAGAAAGAGATGAGTGAGAACAGCAGCATCCATGTGGGATCAGAGATTATCAGTCCTACCCTGCCAGTATCCCCCTAAGGATGGGCTGTAGCGAGAGCTAAACCCTTATTAGACTCCAGAGAATCTAAGCAGATTCTATGGCATCAGCATATCCTTGACTGCACTTGCTTGACTGATCCAGGAATGGCATCCTTTGCAGCTACTACTGAGGCCACAATGAGGACCCGGTTATGGGAGACAGTTACAAGCCACCCCCCAAGGAAACTCTACCTCCACGTCCCTCTTCAGCTTCTCCAGGAAATTCTTTTTACTCTCTTCTCCAACGTGCAGCTTCTGGCCCTCATTCAAGAAGTCGTTGTCCTTGAACGTTGGGAGATCCTTGGCCTGCAACAAGAAGCCTGTGTCAGACCCTCCAAAGCCCTGCTTCCTGTGGGAGGGCTGGTACATGGAGGGCACAGAGACCCTGATCAAGTGTGCCCTTGCACCAGGGTGTTTTGGCTGTTTATAAGGTGAAGTGGCTTATCCTGTCCACTAAGTATGACAACAGCATTAGGCAGAGCACATTACTTGTCAGTGAATCCATGTGCTGAGCTGGACCTAAGGGGAAACTGAAAGGAGACACAGAGAACAACCCAACTTCAAAGACATCTGCAGGCTGAAAGCTCCAAAGCTGGGCTCCAGCCAAAGGTGGCCCAACCAGCTCCCAGAATCGGAAAGAAACCCATTTTGTTGGCTCCTGGCTGGGGGAAGGCTTGGGGAAAACATGCTTCTCTTCCAGAAGACTTGAGGAAAGGCTTAAACCCACTGCTCTTGTGAGGAATGTGCTTGCAGCAGGCCCTGACAGGGCTATGGAAGAACATGAAACCCCTTTGTACAACTGGGAATGCAATGATTGTGTTCTTAGAATGACATATGAGCATCTGGTGGCTTTATACAGACCCAGTATGAATGGTCTGAGACAAAGCAGAGCAGCAAAGGCTGGGGGGTAAAGAGCCAGCAAGCTGGGCCTTGACACCAGAGCATTCAGTATAAATGGGAGCTCCTTGGCTCACACCAGAGATCTAATTTTAGGCCAGGCTCAAGTAGACTTACCCTGTGGTCCCAAACCTGAAAATCCTATGTGCAACACATGTAGTACTGTGAGTTACTACTGCGATTTCAACAGGACTTCTCTCAGCAGCATCACAGCCAAAGTTTTGCAGAGGCAGATTCTTAGGCACAAGTTCCCCTAATGGCACCAGAACCCAAACTGAAAAACACACTGAGATACGCCAAGAACCTGAGAGGAGCTGCTCTGGTTTATAAAGCATCTGCTGCAAAAGCTAACTGCTGACCTGACTCAGTGTGGTACTCAGGGAGAGCTATGATGAAATCCTTCTGTAAAGACACCATTGCACTAATGTGGGCTTTGGTACATGGGGGATTGTCCCCCAGTAAGCTCCCCCCACTCCTGGTAGCATCAATATAACAGAGCAGGGGAGGGCAGCATCAGATCTGGTGGGACAGAAACAGGTTATCACTCAAGGCCCATTTAATATCCCATGCTCAATACCCCTTTGGAAAAGGGAAGTCATTTGGATCCATGTGCTCCCAACCACCTGGAGGAAGGAAAGGCTAGCCAGGGATGGTCCATACCTTCTCTTTATCGCTTGCTTCCCTGGATACTGTTGAGCCCTGATAAAAGAATAAAGAAAAGAGCATTGCTGCACTATGTGTTATGTTCCCAAAGAATTCCTCAACACCATTTAATTCCTCCATGCAGAAAAATAACAGGGGTAGCTTTAACATCAGTTCTCAGCCCCTTTTTCATGCCTGGGGTACACTTATGGGTTTCCCTGGTGTAGCAAAGGCCACTTGTACTGTGGGAATGGAACATTTGAGCTCCAGGAGCAGCTCCATCCACAGCCCCCAAAACCTGCTTCCCTGAACAAAACCCAAAGCCCAGGACCTGGTCAAATGGGTGTCACAAAGATCCACTCCCCCCCCTCTGGAAAAGGAGCTCAGCTCCACGACTGCCCTCCAAACCCTCACCTTCAGGTCGTATTTCCTGTGCACAGTCAGCCTGTGACTAAACACGTTTCTGGTCACCACCATGTAGGTTTCCACTCCATCCACGGTGAGGCGGTACATGCCGAGGAACTGAGGCAGGAGGGTGTTCCCATGACACTCCACTATGAACTGGAGGAGGGTGGGGAAGGGAAGGGCAGAGGAAGACAGCACTGTCACACAAACCCATCTCCGATGCTGACAGCAAAGCCTCCAGTTCCAGCCATCTGACACCGATGGGAAAGGAAAGAGGCTTGCAAATGGCTCCAAGGGTCTCAAGAAGAGCAAGTTAGGGCACTGTAAGAACCTTCCAGCCTTGAGCTGAGACCCACAGCAGAGCGAGCGTGCTGTTGGCACTGGCTGGACTTCACTCCTTGTGATTGTGTGAGTGAAGAGAAAGCGAAGACAAGGTCCACTGGCAGATAATGTGGACAAGGGTAGAGCATTTCCAGCTGTCCCAGTTTGCCCTCCCTTCCCTGCTGCATGTAACTGTCTCCTCCATGGTTCCTATGGAAAGTCTAATTCAAAGGATCACAGTATCACAGTATGTTAGAGATTGGAAGGGACCTCAAAAGCTCATCTAGTCCAATCCCCCTGCCGGAGCAGGAACACCTAGATAAGGTTACACAGGAACGTGTCCAGGCGGGTTTTGAGTGTCTCCAGAGAAGCAGACTCCACAACCTCCCTGGGCAGCCTGGTCCAGTGTTCCGTCACCCTCACTGAGAAGAAGTTTCTTCTCAAGTTTAAGTGGAACCTCTCGTGTTCCAGTTTGTACCCATTGCCCCTTGTCCTTTCATTGTTTGCCACTGAGAAGAGCCTGGCTCCATCCTCGTGACACTCCCCCTTTATATATTTATATACACTAATAAGTTCTCCCCTCAATCTCCTCCAAACTAGAGACCCAGCTCCCTCAGTCTTTCCTCATAAGGGAGATGCTCCACTCTCTTCATCATCTTAGTTGCCCTGATGAAATTAGGAGCATGTTTACAGATCTCAGGTACCAGTGATCCATTATTCATTGATACAAGGAATAGGGTGAGCTTGGAAGGGGCTCAGCACTGAGAAGAGCAAGGCAGCTGTGCCATAACTGGCTCTCCAATGGTAAGTGACACCATTTTCTCCTGCAAATCTCTTTGGAAGCACACTGCAGATGCAAGCTCCAGTTCCCCCATCACCGGATGCTCCCCAAGGTGTTTGCCACCTCCCCGCCAGGCTTCCAGACTCACCGTACCTGATGGTACTTCTTTAAGATGTTGTGCATCTCTGCTACATCCTCGCTCGACACCGCCTTGATGACGAACCTCCTGTCGTAGGTGGTGAGGAACCGGGCCCCGCACCGGCCCTGGCTGTCGCTGTTCACCGGCGCGCTGCGCGTCACCGAGTTCTGAGGGAACCAGAACAGGGCAAAGTGAGGAGGAGAAGCCGAAGCTGCCACCTCCATGGAGAACACAAGCAGATGAGACAGCTCTGGAACAACAGACACCCTAAGGATGTTGTGGTCCACTGTAAGCGTGATGGTGGCCAAGCTTCGGAGAACATCACACTCATGACCATTGGAAGCATCCTTGAGTGCTCAGGATAACCCAGCTGTTTTACCTGGTTCACTCCACCACCTGGTGTGTATTTTGGATGAGGTTTCTTACTAAGAGCTTTTCATACACAGGCCAAGACTCCTTTTCCTCCTGGAAGCTTAAGAACAGTCAGGGTATTTCTAAAGGCTTAAAGAAAACCAGAACACAATGAAGGAAATGGCCTGACTTCTTTTCCCTCAAGCAGCCTAAACTGGTGAAAACCTCATTGTCTGGGAATTCTTTACAGGTCCCACTGAAAGCAAAAAGCCACCCTCAGCTTCTGCTCTTCCTACAATGGGATGAAAAAGATTGGGAGTATAAATAGCTTGGTTGTTCTTCCGACAACCAGCAGCATCTGTCTTTATATCCCTGTCTCCACCCTTAGCAACGAACCATTGCAGCTTCTTTTCCTCCTTGCAGCACGACTGGAAAATCCCAGTTAGACTGCAGAGTATCCACTACATTCCCTGAACCCCAAGGCGTTCTGAAGCCTCTCCCCAGGTAAGGAGCCTCATCCTACTGCTGGAGGCCCTGCTCTTCACACCTTCCACACCGAGTCAAACAGGACCCCAGTCTCCTGCTTGTCTCCTTTGTCACTCCCCAGCAGCTGCCTTCCAGCTCCATGAGCCCAGTCACCAGTGCTGGTTTAGAAGCCATTCTGTCAGCCAACAGTGGTGGCTCTCACTGCTATTTCCTTGCCACTGGTGCAGGCAGATGGGGAGAGTTGAGTTGAGCTCTGAAACAGTGATACTCGGTAGTGGTCTTCAGTGTCTTTTAGGACCTCAGGGCTGGACAATGCATTTCATGCTGTGTGTTTTAGCTGCTGGTTGCTGTTCTCTTCTCCCCTTAGCTTTCTGAGGAGCAGGCAGCAGAGGGAGCCTGCTCTTCTGCAGACAGACACAGGCAAGCAGAGCCTGCTATGAAAGAGGGATTTACCATGTCACGCTGCAAGTGAGCTCAGAGGTTTCCTTTCAGAATGAAGCATTTAAAGCTTTTAAAACTTTAATGAAGCAGGGGAAAAACTCAGCTCCTTCCAATGGCTTTAGAAACCATCAGGAAAAGAAAGGCAAACAAAAAAAAAAGCCCCTTTGCTTCTTACTGACATTTGCAAATGAGTCCGTGCTCCACAATTTAATCACCCCTCACCTCAAAACCACAGAGCTTTTCTTGTAGAGGAGCTGGGAAGCAGAAATCATGACCACATATGGACATGACCAAATTTACAGCCCTTCGGTTTACTTCGTTCCCTTCCTGTCACTCCCACCTCTTCCCCACTTGGGGTGTTATATTTAGCATTCTGGCTCCGTTCCCACTGAAGCCATCACATTTTACCCACCTGCATTTAGCTCAATAAATGTTTTCTGCTTTCTGTTCTAGCTGCTGGCTTCTAAAGAGGCAAACATGGGAGAAGTAATGCTTCAGACCAACAGCTAAAGTGGCAATGAGAGAAACCAGGTAGTGAGAACCAACAACCACCCCAGGGGCAGGGTGCTGCTGGCCAAGCAGCCCCCTCAAGAGCCACACACAGCCTGGCATGAGCCACTGCCAACAGCCCAGAAGGTGCTGGTGCTGCTTCTCTCTGGCACCATCGAACAAGCCTGAAGGGAGGAGGGAAGAAATGAAACCAATAATCTCATAGGCATGTGCTCAAGAAAAGCATGGGCTGAGCAGCCGTGTCCTGAAAATAGAAGAGCTCTTCCATCACAAGCAGGAGAGAGCTGCGTGCACAGCTCGCAGGTAAGGACAGGCACAAAGAACCTGGGCTCAGCTCTGTCTCTGTCAGCACACAGAACCATAGAATAGTTCAGGTTGGAAAGGACCTTAAGATCATCAAGCTCCAACCCCCCTGCCATGGGCAGGGACACCTTGCTCTAAACCATGGCACCCAAGGCCTCATCCAACCTGGCCTTGAACACAGCCAGGGATGGAGCATTCACAACCTCCCTGGGCAACCCATTCCAGTGCCTCACCACCCTCACAGGAAAGAATTTCCTCCTTAGATCCAACCTAAACTTCCCCTGTTTCAGTTTTAACCCATCACCTCTTGTCCTATCACTACAGTCCCTAATGAAGAGTCCATCCCCAGCATCCCTATAGGCCCCCTTCAGATAGGGCACTCACCCAGCCCTGAGCTGCAGCAGGCAGCATTTGCCATTCCTCCTGGGGATGGCTGGCCCCTTGCAGAAGAAAAGCAAAGCTGACTGTCAGTTCTGCTTGAAAAACACGTCTCCATTTGAGCAAACAGCCTCTGAGTGCCCTGAGAACAGGCAGCAGAGTGGGATGAGCCCTGGCAGGCAGGAGAGAGGCAGCTGAGACAGTGAAACTAAGCAGCAAAAAGCCCCAGCATCGAGCCTGGTACCCTCAGAGGTCACTCCTTCTCACAGGTCTGGACCAGGAGGCAGAGGATGGGATGCAGGTGCTCCACAGCTGCTCTTTGCCCCATACATGAGACTGCATCGAGCAGGTGAAGCATCTTCCCAATGCAGCAAGCCATGGGCTAAGAAGACAGATCTCTTCATGATACTAACCTTGAAACAGAGTGAGATCAGGCGTAATCTAGATACAATCCGGGAGAATTCTGACATGCTTGGGATGGGTATATGGAGATGTATGTGGACATGGGAGCACACACACGCTCCCAGAAGGAAGCAGTTTGGTGGGATCAGCAGGAACAGCCCTGCTCCTCTCTCCTCTCCTCACAACACAGGCAGCAGTGAAGCAAAGAAGGGAGAGAGCAAGCAGCTTGTGCTGCTCACCCACTGCTCCAATGCTGTGGTGCCTCTCTGGGCTGGTGGATTCCAGGGAGGATTTGAGTTGAAGCCCTCAAGCAGCCAGTGCTGGAGCTCTGCCAGCCCTTATCAACTGCAGCCATGCCAAAGACACCGGGTTTAATTACCTAACCCCAGGCTGCTAAAGGCCATGCAGCTATCAAAGCCACCCTCTTCTTCTGCACTGGCTTTTCCCCCAGTTAAGAGGTCTCCAAGCAGCCTGCTACTACGCAGCTCCTGCTGTGTGTGGAAGGACAGCCCTGCTGCAAGCAGCAAGAGTTGTGCCACCTCTTTCACTGGGTTTAAGCTCAGTGGTATTAACACAAGACAATCTCCCCTCCAAGGCAAATCTGAGCCTTTGGCCTTTGGGGTCAAAGCAACAGCCACCTTGATAAACCCCAATTCAACAGCACCAATCCTTGGCACACACTTGGTGAAAGCAGCACCCGAACCTGTGAAGCCACGACAGACTCATTTGCCTTGCAGATGTTCTGCACTAGATCACTGTTATCCTCCAGCCCCTGCCTGTCTGCAGCCATCTGCTGCCTCTTCTTTCCTGCCTAGACTGCACGCTCTCTGCAGCAGGGACCATCTTTTCATCCTGCTTGACACAGCAAGATCTACTCCACTGCTGTGAGCCCTTAGGGTTATGGGAAACCCATTCCAACTGTGACAATAAACCCCTAAAAACTGGCCCCACAAGGATGCTGTATCACAGTTTCTCTGCCAGTTTGGTTCTTGTATCCCAAGGAAAGGTGTTTGGAGGGCAGGGAGAGAAGAGACCGTACCTGGTAGTCTTGGTCATCAATCCCAAATCTCTCCCGGAGGTTTCGGAACACCAGTGGACAATATTCCTTAAATTTAAAGCGACTTGGCAGGTTTTCCCTAGGGCAAAGCAGAAAAGAGATTTTTGTGCAATGATCAGCTTGGGAAATCACACTCAATTCTTCTCCCACCTCACTGCTAACCCCCCCCCCCCCGATATCCAAGCCCCCTCCTATCTGCAAGGGCCCTATTCCACACATATTTACCCTCATGAGGGTAGCTTGTTTCTTTGGATGCCTACAAGAGTCATCTCTTCACAGAACCATTTGCAGGCCTAAAAGGCTTTTTTGCATGGGGATGTCTGTCTGAACAGAACAATCTCCCCTGTCACAAGCACAGATGTGACAGAACCATTTCTCTCTTTCCCCTTCCTTTGTTGCTTTGTTCCCTTCAGTAACACAGCTGCCCCCTGCAACACACTGCTACTGTTCAAGAGGAAAAGCTGCAGGAAAGGAAGGGGGGCAGCTCTGATTTCAGATCAGATCAGATCACTGGTGCATCAAAAGAAAGGTCAACACGAGACAAACTGTCTGACCCAGAACCCAAAGGAGAGGACGGGGATCAGCTCCAGCCAGGCATGTTCCAGACCCCAGCATTCCACAGCCAGCTCTGCTGCCAGGCCTCCCCAGAGCAGAGTGGACACCACACAGCATTCCCCATGGCTAAGGGATGCTGCATCTCCTCCCTAGCAGAGCTCTTCTTCTGCCCAGTGGGAAGAAGCAGAGAGGATGGTCCTGCTTGGACCCAGTGGGAGATGTTGTCAGCTCATTCTCAATGAGAATCCTTTGCATTAATATGTGGGAAACCAAACTCTCTGTAGGAGAAGAGGGAAGAGCAGATACTGCAAATCGTAAGCGCCAGGGAAGACAAACTTTTGAATCACACTCCCACTCCTAAACGCTGATCCCTGTAAAATTGAGTGAAACTAAAGCATTAATCAGGGAGCACCACACACACACAGAGCCAGGGTGGAGAACACAGCGCTCAGCACCAGTCACAACTGTGGCTTCCCCAGGGATTCCCAACCTCCATCTCTAGGAAAAGGAAAAGGGGGTAACTCCATACAAAACCCCTGGGCCAGAGGTTTAATACAGCCTCACAGCTGTCTCCTGTGAACAGTCCCAAAGAGACAGGGAAAACTCAGGAGGCCACAGAGAGAAAACTCCTGCCCTCTGCTCCGTGGTCCATGGGATTTGGGGAATACCCAGACAGGATGCTGCAAGAGTCACTGTCCTCCATCAGTTTTGTGCATCATCAAGATTCCAAGGCCCTAGGGCTGGAGTCTGCTGCACAAGTTACACCTTGTGGACTCTAAACTGCCCACTCCAGTTACCCACATGTAACTTGCTTTGTAGTGGTGCCACTTCTGAGCCTGGTCTTACCAGACTTCTTATCCCTCAAAGGTTATAAACCAAACCATGAGACAGCATCTCAGTGACAGACTGACCCTCACCATGGCCTCTTGAGGGGTCTGGGCAGGGTAGGGACTTGGGGCATGTGTGCAGCCATGCCATATCCTCTTGCCATTGCAACAGGGAACAAACCAAAAGGCCTTCACTGTGCCACAGCAAAGGGACAAACAAACCTACTTACTTGTTGAATAGATGATTGTCCACCTTAATCTTACTGTAGGCTTTAAAGTCATCCGGCATTAACATGACGGGGACAGGAACATTGCTGAGCTCGTTGATCTAAAAGAGAAAGGAAACAGAGACTCAAACCCCAAGTTCCACTGCTCTGCAATTACTGTCAATGGACTTCAGGGATGCCAAACACCCCAGAAGCTGGTTTGGAAGCAATAAAACCCATTAGATGCTTAGAGGAACTTGCTGTGCTGAAGCAACCTGGAGAACACTGTGGTTACAAGCGGGAGAAGCATCTCATTCAGTCATGTGCTGAGTAATCTTGAGCCAACCTCGGCTCTTCCATCTCTTCACCTTCTGCTGATCATCCAAGACACAGCTTAGAACTGACACAAACCGACAGAAATAGCAGATCTCCTGTTTTAAATAAATCCCCATGGCTTTTATTTAGGGAATGTTGCATCAGCCAATCTCTTAACCAGTTCTCACCACCACAAATCATGGATGACCAAAGCCTTCAGCGTGGCCAGAGCAGACTGGGGGTAGCAACACAGCACATCTCCCCTGTGGCTGCTCTTCCTATGCTTTTGCTGTCTCTTGTTGCTCTTATCCCACCTTCTCGAAAGGGATGAGTCACTCCACTAGATTGTTTTTGCTCCTTAGTCATGTGTGTGCCAAACACAGGAATAAGGGAAGCAAAAGAATGAACCTGCAGCTACTATTGTACATCAGGCTCATGCTACAGCACCAGTAAAAACCTAATGCATAAGAACAGAACCCACCTCCGGGCTGGATGTGGCCACTCTGCTCCAGCCAAGCCCAGGCACTGACAAGGCTGTGCCAGACTCAAGAGCAGGTCAAGAGGCAGCAGTGTCTGAGGACAGCCCCAGTGTCATCCATTCACATGGACTTCCCAGGAACCGCACGAGTCCCATCCCTCTGTACTGATATTAACCCACTGGATTGAGGAAGTCATTCCATTCCAGCTCCATTCCCATCATTCTTGTGCCAAGCAGGTAACGCTGGAGAGGAGCAGCCAACACTGGCAAGAGTGGGGTTTGGACAGGAGTCAGGCCTGGAGTCTGTTCCCAATCTTGGGCAGGGCAAGTGACTTCCAATAGGCTTGGAAACACCAGCACTTCCCTGCTGCCTGGGAAGAGGGTCCAAGCCATCAGCCTAAGGACATGGACTCCAGCTCCAGGACTCCCTGCATGCAACATTACACACAATACTGTCCAAAGAGCGGCTGCCACATCACCTCTGGAGGCAGAAACAAAAGGAGGCACAAAGGGAGCTGGTCTGCAGCAACACAGAATCACACAGGTTGGGTTGGAAGGGAGCTTAAAGCTCATCCAGCTCCAACCCCTGCCATGGGCAGGGACCCCTTCCACTGGAGCAGCTTGCTCCAAGCCCCTGTGCCTTGAGCACTGCCAGGGATGGGGCAGCCACAGCTTCTCTGGGCACCCTGTGCCAGCGCCTCAGCACCCCCACAGGGAAGAGCCTCTTTAATGTCTAATCTGAACCTAAGGAGGCCAAGGGAGGCCGAAGCTCCAGAGACGTGTGATGAGCTGTCTGATGCTATGAGCAAGCCTTTGACAGGGTATGGATTTGGCCCATCCTTTCTCCATCATTCCCAATGATAAAACCAGAGCAGATTTAACAAATGTCAGACTGGAGAGAACGACACACACACACACGCTGCAATGAGAAAAGATGACTATTTTCAGAGCCTGCCATCCCACACAACAGATAAGCGGGAAGTAAACCGGGAACGGCTCCGTGAAGAGCAGAGATGGTGCTCATTAAAGCTCTGCCTTGGATTTACTTTACAGCAGCACCGAGGAGCATTGAGCACCCCCATAAAGTGCTTTGGGATGTATGGAGAATGCTGCACAAATGAATGAATAATGCCACAGGCTTCTCATTTGTAATCACAATGGAGCAGGGAGGAAAATACCCCCTGACTTCAGCTAAAGGCTCAATCCTGCCCAGGGCTGCTCGTTGAGATGCAGGTAGGAGAAAGGGATGTCCCGGATGCTGATGTCCAGCTCCCAGCTCGTTCTGTAGCAAGAAAGAGGTGCTGCCTCCAGCCACTATTTCTTGCTGTCTAACAGGAGGGGAAGCTCCTTCCACACGCCTGTTCTCAGCCTCTTCCCAGCTATTAGCAGCTTGTTCCCGAGCAAGCGGAGGAAGGATGCTGAGAGGGAACAGCCATTTGGAGACTGTCTCCTCCCTGCCAGGAACTGAGACACAAACGTTAGCAAAGTGAGATGTCAAGGCGTCTCTGGATGTCCTCGTTTCTGCCAAAGCACAAAGCTCAAAGCGAATGTTGTACCTGTTGCAACCCTCCTGACTGGCAGAAATGGTGCGCCAGGATTCCTCGGCTCCTTTAGAAGATGCCCCCACTCTTCCCAAGATAAACCAGCCTGACACCAGTGAAAGAATCCCCCCCTGAGGAAGCCTCTCCCCCCTTTCAGCTGCAGTCAGCAGAGCTCTCTGGATGCTTTGGGATTCCCGGAGGAGATAAGGAGGAGGAAGAAGGGGTCTGTGCCAGGATCAGCATCACTGACTGGTCTGTTCACCACGCAAGGCAGCTCCTGGTCACTGCACCTTTGCTCCTGACACCAGTCTGAAAGCAAACATGAATGGTTGAGGGGTGGTTTTGTCCCAGCAAAAGGATATGCACTGTGTGCTCCCACATTGACTCCCGTGCTTGATGCTTTCCTCAGGATGTCAAAGGGATTGGAATGGGAAGCCCCCACACTGCCTTGGAAAAGGGATATCCCAACCCCTCCCACCTCACAGCATAAGGCTCAGCATCCAGCTCCCCTTCCTAAGGCTTATCAGGCCAGGTCCTGCAGCACGGTGCCAAGTGAAACCCTAGGAGAGCAGCAGCAGACAGGACAGGGATCCTTTCCTGTGGCTCAGCATCACATCACGCTGGAATGTGAGCAGCCTCCGAGCGCAACGTGACTAACGCCTGGCACATGTTTGCTCTCTCGCCTTCTCCCCAGGGAGAGGCGTGGAGCAGGGATTATATATAGCAGAGGCTGTGTCTCGGAGTATTTCTGCTACAGAAGGCAAGGTCACAGCAAGGTGTAAAGTGATGAGGTGCCCAGCAAGCCCCTAGGGAGCCCTGTCCCATGGGGCTGACCCACCTGGTGCCCACTAAGAGATGTCACCGTCACCCAGCTGCAGGAGGTCTGCCTTTGCCAGGACCTGGGGAGAGCTCTGGATACAAGCTGCACAGTGAGGGCTTGGACTTGGGTCTTTGGAAGAGGCAGCAGGCAACAGCAGAGGTGCAGCAGACACAGACAGGCAGCAGACACAGCACCACATCACACACCTCCGTCCCTCACCACATGGGTTGCTGTAGGAAGCTGCAAGGAGCAGGTCCTGCTGCACCGCTGCACCTCCCCATCAAATGCTTTAAGAGGTCCCCAAGGGACCAGAATTAAGAGCAGCTGATGCAGAGCAGGAGCTCTTCAGCCCTGAGCTCTGTCTCCAGCCCCTGCAGGTTTCCTGTAACACATCCAGCTTTTCAGACCTCATCATCCACCTTTGAATCCTATGGAAAATAAGCACCTGGTTTTGCACAGTCCTCCTATAGCAGTTTTCTATTCCTGTGGGTAGGAAACACACACACAACCTGACAGGGACCAGTCCAGGCTGGAAGCACCACGAAGAAGAGCATTTGCCACTGCTGCCCTTCCTCAGGATGGCACATGCTCCTCCTAAAAGGCTCAGATGCGCCAAGCTCTGAGGCTCTCAGTGGAGCTCAGAGGCTTTAAAACCAAGCCACATTTTAACCAAACCAACTGACATCTTCCCAAGGCACCAGCAGGGGAGGGAGGAGAAGAGATGCTTCACATTTCTCTGCTGGTTTCCCCCTATTGTGAGAACAAAGGAGCCACTTCCCAAGCAAGGCAAGGAGTCCGCTGCATCCCAAGGTCAACCTGGCTAGGAGAGAGGTGAAGCAGCCCATTGCCTGCTGTGAACAGCCACTGGAGAGGGAAAGGCAACCAGAGGCCAGTGCAGCAGGGACCAGAGCTTGGGGCAACAGTGGGTTGGGAAATGCCCCTTCCCCTTTGTCTGATCAGCTTTTACTCCCTGGTGGCTGGAACTGCAGAGCAAGAGCAGTCAGCAGGATGCTGGGTTTATCTATAGCTGATAATTTGTCTTCCCCACCAAAGCCAAGTCCTTTTTCACTCCGAGACACATCAATAGCGTGTGTCATTCAGGGACAAATGGGCCAGGCAGGATTTGGTTTCAAAACCTGACTGTAGCCTCAGAGTAGCAATTACCATTAGTAAATTGATGGGAAAATGCGAGCTGTTTACTAACAAGAGCCAGATGATGGAGTGTGTGAGTCTCCTCTCCAGGATTCTTTACACCAGGAATTTGCTCAGGGAAGGAGAACCACTTTGCTCCTCTCCAAGTCTTTCAAGCAGACATTCCAAGTGCTTTGTGAGGAGTAGTTAAACTTCAGAATCCTCCGGGGAAGCAGGTAAAAGACACATAGAAAAATCACCTTAGCATGGAGACAGACTCACATCTGCAGCAAAACTTGGCCTCTGCTGGGCTCTCTGTGCAGGAGTTTGAGGAAAAAAGAGTTTTCCATGAATTAAAGCATATTTAAGCAGTATCCAAGCTAATAACCCCCCCATGCAGTGCTATGGAAGCATGAATCTTGATTTCTCTCAGTGCTCTGGGGACACTTTAGGCTTTAAGAGGGAAAAGAAGCATCACCCAGTGACAGCAAACCCACCTCTGTCCCGAAGTACTTTGAAGCCTGCTGCAAAGGATTCCTGCATCCCGATGGAGCTGCAGCACAGGCTGAATTGGTCAGTGCTACCCTGCTGATGTGGGGCAGGCTGTGTGCCAGCACCTAAGGACCACTGGAGAGCATCCGTCCTCCCCATCCATGCACAGGCAGACAGAGCTAGTGCTTCCCTTGCTTCAACCACCCTCAGCCACACGAGTCAGGGGCAGAGCAGGCAACTGAGTCCCATTTTCCCTATTGAACTACCCAGGAAAACCTCTTCTCTCCATGCCCCAAGAAGGAAAAAGCCTCCTGGAATCTATTTTAACAGGAGGTCCCTGGATAAGAAGGTTCAGAGCAAGGGCCTCGATCATCCATCACCATATGCTGCACTCCCCAGAGGTCAATCAGAGCCACAGCAGACAGCAAGCGCTGGAAAGCACTAATCCACACTCTTTACCCTGTGCCAACACCAACTGATGGGATTTAAATGCTTGCTATGTGGCAGATGCTGCGCTGGCAACACCAAGAGAAGGGAGAAGCGTGCTGCAAATCCCAGTTCTTCCACTGGAATACTCCACAGAGCTGCGTTCTGCACCAGCACCACTCTGAAGGGTCCTAAATGTGCTGGTGCCTCAGCCAGTGATCCAGGGAGAGCAGGAGCATGATCCATAGAGCAACAGGAAGAGATCTACCCATTTCCCTACACATGGGGTACGTTTATACCCACCTTTCCCTACCAACACCCACAGAGCACCAAACAGAGTCACCTCTCCACCAAGTCCCTGGGATCCCAGTGCCTGGTAGAATCAGCACCTTACAACCGTTTCTATGGTTTCCAGAGCATCACACAACGCTGCTGTGCTCATCTCGCTCTTCTTGCGAGATGGCTTCTCCCTTCCAGAACCATCCCAACGTTCCCCCCTGCGCACATCCAGCCAGGATATGGATGGAGAACACGCATGGAACCCATCCCCAGGAGCTGCATCTCCTCTTGCAATGCCATGACAACAGCAGAGCTTCCCCAAGAACCATGGCCATGGATTCCACAGCGCCTGACAGCGAACTCATGCATCAAGAGTGAGCCTCTGGGACTCCACTTTTCCCTCCTATCTGCACAAGTTCTCCTCTCTCTGGTTTCCTAGCCCCAAACTGAGCTCTTGGACTAATCCCACCCACATTTGGCTTTGCTTAAACTAGCTCCATCCCACCCTAATCCCAATCCAGGCAGTTTAAACACTGGCTGGGGAGCACCAGGACAGCCAAGACCAAGAAAGGCTCCAAACTGGTGCTCCAGAAACCAGTTCCTGCTCTTGGTGTGCCAGCATCCTTGCTCCTGATCCTCTCCAGAGCCAGCACTGTCTGCATGCACACCAGCTGCTCACAGCCTTGTTTAAACACAAGGCAGGGCCGAGCTGTTGCCAGACTCAGTTAATGGACCCAAGGGAATGCCTTCAGTCAACAGAAATGGTGGATTGGAGAATGTGGGTGTTCTGTTTGCTTTGCCCATGAAAAGGTTCATCCCAAATGGACAGGATCTCCCTGGCACAGCCTCGTGGTTGTGCCAACAGCCATGCATCTCCTCCTGCTATAGGGACCCCAGGGGAGGGCTCCACAGGCACAGCAAGAGATTCACCTCTCCTTGTAAAGCTGTGGCCCAGGAGCCAAATACTAAAGACCCCCCCCCAAAAAGAGCTATTGAATGAAGTTCAATGGTACCCCTGAGAGCAGGTCCTGCCCAGCCCCACTTCCCATAAAGCACCCACATCATCTCCCAGCCGCACACTGGGATGAGCAGCATCCCAAGTGCTGCCAAAGCCACCTCAACACGGCTCGGGTACTCACAGGACTTACCCAAACCCAGACTGAGATTGATGGAGGAAAAGCAGCAGGAATTTGTTAGGGAATCCTGGATTTCCAAGGGTCACAGCTGAAACGTTCTCACCCCCTCGGGTCCTCCTTTCTGGCAGCAGCTTCTTCAGAACACCCATTGGAGACAGCCTCAGTACCAGCCCTGTGCTCAGCACCACTGCAGCTTCCTCCCTTTCCCTAAGTATTCCATAGCCAAGCACTCCAGAAATCCCATTGCCCTGATCCAGTGCCTAAAAAAGCTCCCAGATCCCTTCTGCTACAAGCAGCTCACCCCAGAAAGGGAGATTGCCACCAAGCAACAACCGTCCCTAAGGGCCCGCAGATGAAACTCCAAAGAATCCCACCCATTTCCATTTCTTCAGGGCTCCACTGATCAAAGCCTCATTAAAACTCATTACCCTGCTTCCTGGGAAGGCTCTGAGCAAGCAAGCACTGGAACATCCTTTGACTCAGAAAGGCAGCTGCGTTGAACTACATTTGGAAGCTTCACTCCAGCATGAGGCGGGCTGGAAATGCAGTTCCCATTATTGTGTATGTGTGTTACTGGTATCTGCAAAAATTAAAGCCTAAATCCCTTTCACTCTCTAGGAAACAGCCACTAATCCACTACAGGAATAGGTGTCTTTGAGCATATGAACTTAGGAAGGGATGAGGTTTCTGGGTTCTTTGACCACCTGCATCCATTACCCACATCCCGGAGAGAGCAGTGGTAAATCAATCCTCCTTCCCAGCACGAGATCTGCGCCTGGCATCGCAGACGAGGGAGAAGTTTCCAGAGCCAAAACATGAAAGCTGGCTCTGGGAACCTCCAAAGGAGAGGGATGAAAGCACTAAACCATCACAGGCATTCCCAAGGGAGCCCCCTCCTGATTGAGACCTGGACCAAGCCATCACCCACAGAAACCAAGAGGCCAAAGAAGTCAAAGGGACACGAGGTTGGGCAGAAGGGAGCCGGGATGTCCTTTGGGATGGAGATGAAGGCATCACTGTGAGGACCGGGACTGTCACTGTGTGCGTGGTACCCCGACCCCACGCTGGAACGGGGCCGTAGGGATGGGACAGGGGACAGCGGGTGTTAAAGGGATGCGCTCAGGGCACCAGCACCCCCTGCACAAAGGGGCATTAACCAAAAGGGCATCGCTCCCCTTCCCCAATCCCGGGATAAAGACCCAGGAGCGCTGGGGAAGAAGGGATGGAAAAGGGGTTGGGAAGAGGCCGCAGGCAGACGGGTGGGTGTGCGGGGGCTGCGTGCTCCGGCACAGGGACGTGTCTGGCAGCAGCGAGGAACACAGGGACACCCCGATCCATAGGGAGAGGGAACACACCCTGATCCGGGGGGGAGGGGGGGGGCACCCCATCTTGATCCATAGCGGTTCCCAAACCGCCTGGACACTGGGGAAGGAGCCCCAGCCCCGCAAGAAAGGCACCACAGGGACACAGGCGGGAAGCAGCGGAGCCGGGGAAGGGGGGAACGGTCCCGACCCGGGAGCGCGCTGGGAGCAGGGATCCAGGGAGGGACCAGGATGAGGGATCGGCTGCGATAAAGGGATATGGGGGGGGCGAGGGGCCTGGGCTGAGCGGGCAAAGGCCCTGCCTGAGGGAGGGAGGGAAGGGGCGAGGGATGAGGGGGATGAAGGCTCTGTCCCTTGGGTCTGGGGGTCCCGGGATGGAGGGAGAGGATGGCCGCGGCGGAGGGGCCCCGCGCTCACCGTGTGGTTGGCCCCCCACATGAGGACGCTGAGCAGCGGCTCCGAGGCCCGGAACAGCTTCACCTTCTGGCACACGAAGTGCTTCTTCTTGGTCTTGGTTTTACTGGCGCTCAGCACCGCGCCCAGCGCCGTTCCTCCGCCGCCCCCCGCCGCCGAGCCCCCCGCGCAGTTCGAGGCCATGGCAGCGGCACCGGGAACCGGACCGAGCCCCCTCCCCCGGGATCCCCCCTACCAGCGCCTCCGCATGGTTCCGCCCGGGCCGGCACACGCCCCCCGCCCCTACCCCGGTGGTACCGCCCGCTCCTGTCAGCCCTTGCCCGTTGGTCCGATCCGGCCCGTTAGCTTCCCCCCCCCCCGGGCGTCCCCGCAGTGGTTCCGTCCCCGCCTCCCCCTGTCCCCCCCCCCCCCGCCCCCGCGGTGGTTCGCTCCACCGCTGAGGCCGGCCGAGCCCGCTCCGGCCCCGCGCTGAGGAGGCGCCAAGATGGCGGCGGGCTGAGGAGGTGGGGAGCGGGAGGCACCATGTCCTCCCCGAGGAGGGGGAGCCCGGGATGCTGAGGAACGGGAGCGCTGCGCTGGCCGCTGGCTCGCCCCGCCTGGAGCTGAGGTAGAAACGGGGAGAACCGCTGCAGGGCTCGGGCTGGGACAGAGAGCAACGGAAAGGGTTGGACATTGGGAGAGGGAAAGGGGAAAGAAAACGCCCTTCCCTCCTCCTCTTCCCGGCGATGGTCTCGCCCAGTTGGCGTGACGACCCCGCCCAGGACACGCCCCGCTACGCACGAACCAATAAGCAGCGAGGTGCCTGGAATTATGAATGGACTGCTGCACACGTCACAGGCCGCCGTTCCCAGGGTGAGGACGGGGATCGGCGCTGCGCGGGGTCCCCCCCCCCAGCTCCCGCAGCACCGGCGCCGGGTCCTGCGGGCCCGGAGCTCGGATAAAGCCGAGAAGGGGCCACCACTGCCGGTTAGAGCCGTCCTGGGCCCTCACAAAGGCTTCCCCGCCCCTTCTGCCTCCAAACACCACGAAGAGCGTTTAAATACGAGAGGGAAGTTTCTTACGTTTCCAAAAAGGAAAAGGCAGATGTACAGAGCTGTACATATACACACTACATACAAAATCCCAGAGAACCGTCCGTGGGCCAGCTCTGCTCCTTGCCTTGCCCTCCGGAGCAATGACTCCTTTTGGACCAAGCATCATTCACATCTGCGAGCAACTAAATAACGGCTACAGGGCTTTGGGAGATGTCACATTCCAAACCCACGCCCCACACAGCCACAGGACTGAATGGGATTTTGTCTGTTACTCACATAGCTTCATCAGATTCCATCAAATTAACTCACGTGTGAACTGGTACCAGTTTGGGGTTTAAGGACTAACAAAAACAGGGCTTTTGATCCGTCAGGTGGAGAGCTTGGACCATCTGCCCCAAGCAGTCGCCACCCGGCAGGATTTGGTAATAACAATATACAAAAGTGATCCTGGTCAAGGTGGGGAGAGAAGGAAAAGACGTGGCCATAGGTTAAAAACGGGATACAAAAGCTCACGAGTTCTCCGGCAGAGGATTTCCTGCAAGGTCACATCACTATACACGTTCACAATGTCCTGAGCACGCAGCAATCCAACACCTCTTGGGGAGATGGGAAGTGTTCCTGTAGAGAGCAGGGATCTGTGCTGGAGGCCTCTCACCTTTGGGAGCAAGTGTCCGTTTCAATTCTGCACAGTGGCAGAGGGAGTTGTTGTTTCATCTCTGCATAAAGTTCCTTTCCAAGGCAGCAGGAGTCCTCTGGAGGGAGTGGATATTGCGCTTCACCCGATCTTCCAGGCTGGAAGTGGATGCACTCTCCAGTTTTAAGCGACTGCAGGGAATTGAGCCAGAAAGAGAGAACTCAGCATTGAGCCAAGAGATAAATCTCTTTTAAACACGACATGATTTCCAGCAGGACTCTTCATCCCGAGTCATCTACCTCAATCTAACAGAGAAACCAGCGAATGAGTTCCTATTAAAGTCTGCACTAAACTGAACACCTTTCAGTCTGGCTTGTAACAGCTCCAAGGCCTGATTTAAGGTCAGGAATACACCTGCAGCAGCTCTCCAGCCTCCTCCATTTAATTACAAGCAGAGTGGGGACTCAGTTGCTTTCTATGAAGCAAGCAAGGGAAAAGCAACGTGTTCCTGAAGGGGGGGCAGTGATCCCCAGGGACCAGAGCTTGTGTTGTACTATGTCAGTAACAGGAGAGAGGAGGGATCCTTGCGGCCACTGACTTGACTTTCCTACTTCAGATCCCAGTGCTGTGCTTTGCTGAACGATCCCTTCCTGCCCATCTCTCTTAATGTGCAATAAACACCACGTCTGTCAGCTCAGCCCCTTGCTGCTGCACAAGGAACCACACAAAAATCATTGAACCCCAGACTGGTTTGGGTTGAAGGGAGCTTAAAGCTCATCCAGCTCCAACCGCTGCCACAGGCTGGGACCCCTTCCACTGGAGCAGCTTGCTCCAAGCCCCTGTGTCCAACCTGGCCTTGAGCACTGCCAGGGATGGGGCAGCCACAGCTTCTCTGGGCACCCTGTGCCAGCGCCTCAGCACCCTCACAGGGAAGAGCTTCTGCCTAAGAGCTCAGCTCAGTCTCCCCTCGGGCAGGTTCAAGCCATTCCCCTTGCCCTGTCCCTACAGGCCCTGGTAAAAAATTCCTCTCCATGACAGTTGTGATTAAGCCACCTTTACGTGATCCCAGCTCTGGGCAGCTTTGGAAATCAGAGTTCTCCTCTAATTTATAGAGCCTGAAAAACACTACTCCAAACCACCTAACACTGCCCTGGGACCTTTATTACACACCACTGCCTGTTCTGGAAGGCAATTTCCTTCACTTGCCGTGTGCACAAAGGACTGTAAGTTACCACCCATGTTTAGAAATGGTCTTATTTCTCGTGGGTCTGAAAGCCGTACCCAACAAGCTCTTGGCACACAGTGGGTTTGCAGGCCAAAAACTGCTGAAAGCTCCTAAAACCAGAGAGCTTTTTAATATCTATGTATTAAATATGTAAAGCACTACTAGGTATTATTGGCAAAAAAATAACTGATGGCTGGTTTCCAAGCCTGACTGCCAAAGCCATGACAGAAATAACTATCTTTTGGGTTCAGAAGTGAGTCTGGCAACAGCAGATGTTAAGTCCTACTGTAAAACACAGTAGAGATGGATCTTACACCATTATCTGAAGCACCTCAAGCGCTGAGGCCATCACTCTCTCCCCAGACGCTATGGCTTGTATTTCCCTTGAGTGCAAAAGCAGATCCTAAAAGACACTCACTTGAAGAACTTCCCATCTCTGGAGTCGAGCTTCTCCAGCTCCCGCTCCTGCTCCTCCTCCTTTTGGTGCTTCCTGAGGTTGGTTGCTCTCTCCTCTTCCCTCCACTTGGCATTTTCCATCATTTCTTGCCGTTTACGCTCTAGTTCCTCCGGAGAGATCTTCCTGTTGTGTTGAAGGCATCACTGCTGTGAACCAATAGCACGCCAGGCACCACCCCTCACCCCCCCCTTTGTTTTCCATTCTTTATGATATACAACCCCCGAAACCAAGGTGTTTAACATGGTTTTTCCTTTGGTGGCCAGTCTGTCAGTACAGGTCTAAGTGTTCTGCTTTACCACACCCCTAAACCAACAGGAGGCTGGTTTCTCCCCCTTTGCAGCCTTCTTGGTTTCAAGATGATGCTGTCAAGGTCCTATTTTCCTGTTAGCAGTGAAACAGAACCTTTCTAATTAACAATCCATGGCACTTAGACTGATTTCATGTCACTGCCTTGCATGGAGAACCAACAACCACATGCATTGGTTCAGGAAGCTGGCCGAGGTGGCAACTAACAATCAAGCTCCAGAGCACAAAACAGGGCACTTTAGGACTCCCTGTCTGACTTTCTGGGCATTCAATCCAATCTATTTTAGTTAACAGAGGAAATCTTGGTTCACAGATTACACCTGCAATCATCAGGGCAGCTTCCATCCAAAAGCACAAGGACAAGACCTCACCTTGTGTAACTCTGAGTCTGCTGTCGTCGGTAGCTCTTTTTAGGGGAAGGGCTTCTGGCTCTCCCTTTCTCCTCCCGATTGCTGTGCCTGTAACCCAGAACTACCCTTAGTAGGACAGACAAACAAACATGATCACACCTCTAAGCTTGCCCTGGGTTGTTTCTATGCAGTTGGAAACTGAGATCTCTCTCACAACTGCAGGACTGTTACCTGTCCACTCTCAAACCCAATTCTAGTGAGCATACTGTGAATTCCCATCTATTCTACCCAGTTTTAATTACTTTAGCAAACAATAAATACCATTTAGCATTTAGTCAAGATAATTCAACAATTCTAAATACCTTTGAAAAGGTATCAGTAGCCCAAATGCAGCACAGCTACAGGCAATACCTTAGACAGAGGCTGCTCCAAATGAAGAGTGCAAAGAGAGCACGTCCTCACTGGGGACTGCCCTGTGTCCTCCTGCTCCCTTCAACAGCAGCACAGCTCTGGCCTTTACACCCTGAACCCAGCAATAACATGGACAGGAAGCAGTAGGAGACTGAGTAAGAGGGATTTTGACTCTGGAGAACTCTCCCCCCACAAGCAGCCTGTGGTTTACAGCACCCCCGGGTCAGCCACACTCACTGTTTGTGTCTAAGAGGAGATCTTGAGCTCTTGCATCCAGACTGCTCCGAGTTCTTCTTGCTCGAGCGGGACCGGCTCCTTGACCTGGAGCGATCCCGGTGCCTGTGGGACCCCCTCTCCTGGGTGGCAACTGGAGAGCTCCGAGCCCTGTGGCTCTGCTCAGAGTCCCTAACCTGGAATTGAAAGGTGTTATCAGGAGAGATGCCCTGAAGGAGCACAACAACAACGGAAGGCCACAGAGGAGACCTCTGCCAAGGCAGTCCAGCAGAGGATTTGAATAGATGGGTAGTGATGTGAAGAGAAACTAAATCAAGCTTAACTCAAATTGAGAGCAGACAGAAGTCCTACCAGGATGTGAACAACTTGAGCTTCAAGGTCTAGATGGCTCCAAAATGAATCTAAACTTTATTATACCATGTCCCCCTCAAAAGCCTCTTGCAGTTGGTGAAGGAGCCTCACAACAAACTGCCAAAACTCCTTTTCTTCCCTAACTGAGGACTGCTGCTACTGAAAGAGTTGTGCAAAACACATGGACTTACTTGTAAGCCATACCCTGGGACACTGGGAGGAGCAGATTTCCAAGAGGAACTGTTCATCCTCTTCTGAGACCTAAAGAGAAAACAGAGCAGGGCTTCTGAAGCAGAG